AAGAACTTCATTAGAACTATATTTGATGTTGTTGTTCACTTCTGCTCGCTTGTGCTCAGTTACGGCATTGCTGATCATTTGTAAATTACTCGATGTAATAATGTTTTTATCTCGTTATTTATTTTTTTGTGTGAAAATGTAATTTTCTAAAAAAAAAAAGAAAAAAGATCTTTTACAATCAAGGACTTTTTCGCCAGCTTCTTTCCTCATGACAGTAATCGCCAGTGTTGGTGGAAAAAATTACTTTTAAAAGTAATGCATAACAATATTGCACTACTACACTTAATTTTATCTCTTTGAACTGTACTCAGATTTATAATTTTTCTTCTACTTTGGTATTAAGTTAACAATTGAGGAATCGTCGTACATTTCACAAACAACCTTACTAACAGTGTTGGGTAAAGTTACTTTTAAAAGTAATGCATTACAATATTGCGTTACTCATTAAAAAAGTAACTAATTACGTTACTTAGTTACTTTTTATGGAAAGTAATGTGTTACGTTACTTTTTAGTTACTTTTTAAATCTGGACAGGGCTTGCCTGTTTGTTTTTAAAATAAAAAAGTTTTATTTTTGCCAAATATAAAATAAAGTGAAATGAATAAGCCTCAGGCTGAAGGGAAAGTACATTTACATCCGTACAGTAGAATGCAGAAGAAGACATTTCAACACACTTCAGCAATAATAAAAAGACACACAAATGTTTGTCTAGAGTAATTTGTGCTTATTAGTACGGTTGAACCGGATCATCGAAGGTCAGAAGCAAAGACATCAGTTAATAGAATGGGATTAAATACATAAAGCATATTTGTGTTGTTTAACATTTAATTATTGCAGGTTTGCGTCATATTCTGAGTTGCATTATTTTTATTCATTTTGAGGAATAATGAATCTGTTTTTTGTGAGTGAGATGCATTAATAGCATATTCATATTTATTTTAGAACTACAGTAACATCTGATTTCTCTCAACATGGGGACAGGAGAGCTGACAATCAATAAATTGGAAAAAAAAGTAACTTGCGTTACTTATTTGAAAAAGTAACTCAGATATTCTCTTGTAAAGTAAAAAGTAATCCGTTACTTTACTAGTTACTTGAAAAAAGTAATCTGATTACGTAACTCGCGTTACTTGTAATGCGTTACCCCCAACACTGGTAATCGCAGGCAGAGTTGCCAAGTCCGCGTATTTTACGCGACTTTGGGCTTCTTTTTTTTTTAAAGTTGCGTTAAAAAATCACGGGTTTAATATGGTTCCTAACAAGCAACCATATTAAAAACAATATGGTTGCTTGTTAGGAAAACCTGACAAGCAACTTCGTTTCTTTACATCTATGTATTTAGTCGCTGTTTTTTCCAATATAGGCCTATTGTTGACACTGCCAATCAGTGCAACAATAACAGTGCTGTAGCGTGATTCCTCATCGTCAGCTCATTTATTGATAATTAATAATATTGATTATAATAACATTGGGCTTGTTTTTGAAGTTGTGGTTGCTTATTTATCTTGCGGGAGTTGGCAACACTGATGGCAGGCTTTACACTGCTGCTTGCTCAGTTTAAGTAAAACGAGTCAATGCAGTGCAATTCTAAGTCATTTTAGCAACTTGATTTCATTCATTGCGTTCAATGCTCCTAAACTCGGAAATTTGGAAGTTTTTCCCATTTGTTTTGGGACTGCTCAAATAACACACACACACACACACACACACACACACACACACACACACACACACACACACACACACA